CCGCGCCCCCTCCCCTCCCCTGGCACCCGCAACGCTCAAGTTCACTCCTGGATCCGGGGGGTTCTATCTGCTGTTCCCGCTGCGGGGACGCTTTGCCCTCGGCTTCCTTCTTGCCATTCATCTCAGAGTCCCCCCCTTTGACAACTTTCAGATCAAAAAAATGAATGAAAAGACCTCTCGACCAACCAAAAATGCTCAGGTCCCGTAAGGCACCCTAATTCAAATTGTTAAAAACCCCCAACCACCACCAACACCAAAAACCACATCGGCGTTCCTCTCACATGGACGTTTCTCTCTCCCTCTCCCTTCCTCTCTCTCTAAACGTCAATAAAAATCTTTAAAAAAAACCACAAGGTTTTCTCCCGAGAGAGGTCCTTCCCCACCACCCTTGCCCCGCCCCTCCCGTTCGAAATCCTGTAACTCCGTTTCCCCTTCTAGAATGCGAGCTCTGGCAAAGCAGGGCCCCCTCTGAGGCGTCCAGTCCCAGGTCCCAAGGCCTGGGCCTACCCGGCAGTCAGGGGTGCTCAAGACATGCTTTTCTGAACGGATGGTGAATGAATGACTCCTCCCACTTGGCCATGTTTTGTAAGCCCAGCGCTGGGAGCAGCCACAGTTACAGAGTGAAAGGGCCCCTAGTCCCAACCTTTGTCCAGAAGGGGAAACCGAGGCCCAAGAGGAGCAGACACCTGCCTGAAGGCTCACGGGTTGGCAGCCAGACAGCAGGAAGAAGGGAGCCAAGCTGAGGGCTTCTCCACGCTCCCCTCCCCCCGGCTGGCTAAGGGGACTCGGAGCTGGAGCCGCCTGGGCTGTGGCACCCCTGTCCCCCCGCAGGCTCGCTCGGAGGCCGCTGGGATGGAGAGCTCTCTGGCGGAGCGTGCTAAGGGCGGGCCCTTCCACATGGTCACACCCCTGCTGGAGAGCTGGGCGCTGTCCCAGGTGGCGGGCACGACTGTCCTCCTCAAATGTGAGAATGTGCAGCCGGCCGGCTCCTTCAAGGTCAGGGGCATCGGGCACTTCTGCCAGGAGGTGAGGCTGTGAGGGAAGGAGGGGAGNCTCAAGGGGGGGCATAGGCATGTGGGGAGGGGGCGACTCACAGGGGAAAGGGAGGGGGAGGGAGAAAGTTTGCCAACAGGGCCCGCCGCGCCCCCTTCTGCTCCCGCACAGGGGGCAACGCGGGCATCGCGGCCGCCTACTGCGCTCGGAAGCTGGGCGTCCCGGCCACCATCGTGCTCCCCGAGGGCGCCTCCCAGCGGGTGGTGCGGAGGCTGCAGGGGGAGGGCGCCGAGGTTCAGCTGAGTGGCAAGGTGAAGCCCGGGAAGGGGGCGCCAAGGGCAGGGCCGATCCCCTCCACGCCTCCCCACCCCGAGACCGTCCCCGTTGCCTTTGTAATCCTCACCCGAGGATACTTGTTCCATTGATTTTTAGAGACAGTGTGTGGGGGGGAGACAGAGAGAGACATCAAGGCGTCCAGGGAGACGCTAAGGGCAGCTCGGCTTCAAAGCCCGTGTTTGTTTCAATGTTTCAAGAGAAAGACGCCCATCCCTCCGGCTAGATGGGGTGCCACGTGGGCGGGGATGCCACGTGGGCGGGGAATGCCACGTGGGTGGGGTGCCACGTGGGCGGGGTGCCACGTGGGCGGGGGATGCCACATGGGCAGAGACCATTTCTTTGTCTCCTCCAGCTGCCCCTGGCACAGGACGAGGCCCAGAGCGGGCACTGTGGGGTGCCAGAGGAATGGGAAGGGGCTGTTTGGGGCCCCCTTGTCCCCCTGTACCCCTTAGGAGAGGGGATGGCTGGAGGGGGTCCTCCTGAAATGCTGTTAGTTTGGGTTCCCAGGAGCTGACTGCCGGGTCTTCCGACCTCTGTTTCCCTTTAGGTCTGGGATGAGGCCAATCTGAGGGCACAAGAGTTGGCCAAGAGGGACGGCTGGGTGAACGTGCCCCCGTTCGACCACCCTCTGATATGGTAAGGCTGGGGACCCTCCCCCCCAGGGAGCTCAGAGTTGAGAAACCCTCATTGAATCAGGGGTCCTCCCTTTGGATAAACGGGGAAACTGAAGCCCGGAGAGTAGAAGAGGCATAGAGTCCGGGCACACTGGGGTCAGACCCCGCCTCCGCCACTTGTGAGTTGTGTGACTGTAAAGCATCGCACCGCCTCGTGCCTCAGTTTCCCCATGTGTAAAAGGGAAACGCTAATAGTAAGTCCCCTTTATGCAGCGTGTCCTTAATGGAGCACATTCAGCCCAGTGATTCCGCCCTGAAGCCCTAGAGGTGGGTGCTTTATGCCCGTTTGACAGGGGAGGAAATTGATGCACCAAGGGGCCAAGCAACTTGCTTGAGATCACACAGCTAGTAAGTGGCAGAGACGTGAGGCCCAAGGTCAAGAACTTGAGTTGATAGGGTTCCAGGTGCTATGCTGGCCCCAGGGGCGGGGGGGGGTGACCAGTGGATGAATGAATTCAATGACGAAAGCGGAGTGAACCAAGCACGACAGGGGCTCCCCTCCCTTAGCTGCGGGTGGGGAGGGGGTGGCCGTGAGGGAGTTTGTGTACACGGGAGCCTTTGGAGCTGAGGGTCCCCCTCACCCGGCTCCCCCCCCATTTCCCTGCCCCCCAGGGAAGGCCACGCCAGCCTGGTGCGGGAGCTGAAGGCAGCCCTGGGGAGCCCTCCGGGGGCCCTGGTGCTGGCGGTGGGGGGTGGGGGGCTCCTGGCCGGGGTGTCAGCAGGCCTGGCGGAGGTGGGCTGGCAGCACGTGCCCATTGTCGCCGTGGAGACCCGCGGGGCCCACTGTTTCCACGCGGCGGTGGAGGCAGGCAGGCTGGTCACGCTGTCCAACATCACCAGGTGGGTGCGGGCTGGACATTTGGGGGAGGGGGGCTGGAGGGGGAGGATGCAGCCGCCCCAGGGCCTGCCAGCCCCAACTCGCCCAGGCGGGGGACACTCGGAGGGTCCCCTTCACCTGGGACTCCAGCCACGGCCCTGCTGGAAAAGTAGATGAAGGACC